GAATGTAAAGAATGATTCAGTCACCAGTACCACCCATCCACCCACACAAAATGAATGAGATGGTGCATGCTTTGCAAGTAGTGGCAATAGTTGGTGATATTATTGTCACTTTCTAAAGACTCTTTGAGATCTATAAAGGGTCTCAGGAAAGATAAGGAAGAAAATTAGAAGGAGAGCTTCTCTTGTTAGAGTGCAATCTTGATGATCCTGAAGCCTGTCGATCCTATCACTTCCATTTGGGATTCTTGTAGAGGAAAACCCTGCAGTGGAGTCCTAGAAGACTCAAGGACCCAAAAGAGAAGCAGCCCAAGATCAGGTTTGTCAGATTGACCGAATTTCGAAGTCTGCTTATTCTAATTACCATCTCTGTAGTCTTGTGCAGATAATGCAGCCTCAGGACTTTCCATTTGATTAAGAGATCTACTTCCTAGAGTGAGAGAAGGAGTACATGAGAAACTTGAAATGCTCAGCCTCTCTGCTTAGCAGAATCCATTCAACAAATAGTTGTTTTGTGTATTGTAATTTTTCAAAAATATTTTCAGTTATAGATGGATACAATATCTTTATTTTATTTTAATGTGGTGCTAAAGATCGAACCCAGTGCCTCACATGTGCTAGGCAAGCACTCTACCACTGAGCCACAACTCTAGCCCCTGTGTATTATAATTTTTATGGTTCAGTCAGAGATTGAAATCCAGAGGGTGGTGTAGTGATGTAGTTAAGGAATGTGAGTTCTTGCGTGAGACAATCTGGGTTCAGATCCTATTCCTGTTGTTCAGTAGCTTTGTGACCCTGGGCAAACAATTTCTGTCCTTCAGTTTCCTCATCTATAAGATGAGAATAGTAATAAGACCTAATTCCTGTAGTAATGGAAAGACTAAATGACTTAAGACATGTGAAGTGCTGACAGTTGTGGCTGGAACAGAACACCTTCATCATCAGTAGTGTGGATGGGCTTCCCTGAGAGATCCTGTTCTGTTAGAAAAGCACACTTGGCAAGGGATGTAGTACACTGGGCCCTGCCCCTGGCATCACCTCGTACTCTTGGGAAGTCTTGCTTGTTGCCTCAGACCCTGGTGCAACTTCCTTTTCTGATAGTCCTGTGGGACCTTAGCCCTTTTGATCATATTCCAGTCTGTCCCACTGCCTGCTCTGGGATGGGTCACTGGTGTTACTCAGTCTCTGATTCTCCTCTCACTCTCCTTGAAGTCCATGTCCTGAAGAGTCCCCATGGCCCTCCTTGGCTGCATTCTTGCTCTGCCCTGCAACTGTACTACCAATCCAGGCCAGATCAAGGTGCCAACTGTAGAGGTACATCGTTATCCCAGGGCTTGCTGAGGCTTGTCCTGGCCCCCATCCTAATACAGAGAGTTAGAAAACATATTAAGATCTAGATTGCGTAGATAATGACATTCCTTGATACCACAGCCAATGCACATACCCCCCTTGACTGATTTACCCTAATGTTCCTGTGGTCAGGCTAAAGGCCAAGCCTTGTTCAAAACCTACTGCCTGAACATCTGGGCTGCAGTAACAGACAATGGTAAATTGTATCATTTTTGGGTAAAACTCATAACCCTGTTGGCACAGTTCCTTCCTCACAAGGCTCCTTCTCAGGCATTATTTCGAAAGTTCTGTCTGGGCCTGTAGATAGATATTTTTGGATGATTGTGCAAACTAAGCTCTCCATGATCTGACCCCTGTCTGCTTACTGAGACTTTTTGGATGCAACTTTTTATTGAAGTATAACATTATATAGAAAATGTCCAAATCATTAGTGTAGAGGTAAATGAATTTTTACAAAATGATGAATTCCAACATTCAGATTAAGAGGCAGAATGTTACCAGCACCCACAGGATCGGATCCCCTTTTGGATCCGCTTCCAATCACTCCTCTTAGCTCTCCTTGTTTAGCCATGCTGATCTAGTTACCATTTCACCCACCCGCAGCATACCATTCTCTCTCATGCTCCTGCCCCTACACATGCTGTTTCCTTGGATGCCAGGCCTCGCCTCCTCACTGCTCAAAACTCAGGTGTCAACTTCCCCTGATGGGCTAGGTCTGCTTCCTGTACTTTCCTCCCATGTTTTGTAATTGTTTACTGGGAGATCCCTGAAGTCAGAGACTGAGTCACCAGTCTCCCTGGCACTCAGCACATGCTTGCCATAGAGCAAACTCCAGCAGTGTTTTCTTATTATACAGTTTTTCTAAAATATTTGAAGTCATATTTTACTTTTCTTTTTTATCTTCCCTGTCCCTACCTCGAGCACATGCCATTCCAACTTTCTGCCTTCCTAACCATCCTTCTTGCCTCTTCTGGCTTATCTGAAAACATATTAACTCTTTCTTTCTTAGTTGTTGTTGTTTTGAGCCAGGGACTGAACCCAGAATGAGAGAAGGAGCTACATCCCCAGCCCTTTTCATTTTTTCTTTTGAGACAGGTCTCACGAAGTTGTTGAGGCTGACCTTGAACTTGTGATCCTCGTGCCTTAGCCTCCCAAGTTACTGGGATTACAGATGTGTGCCACTATCTCCAATGAATTGTGATTTCTATCTCAGAAAAGCTGTTACAAGAAAATGAACCAAAAAAGTAAAGGTTTACCAATGTTGTGATGTTTCCTGAGGGGCTTTTTTTTTTGAGGGCACATAAGACTTTATTCAAATTTTGGTATATGAACGCAAACAAAGAGAATGACTTCAGGAGAAAAGGAAACTACATAAGAACAAACAAGAGGGCTGGGGATGTGGCTCAAGCGGTAGCACGCTCGCCTGGCATGCGTGCGGCCCGGGTTCGATCCTCAGCACCACATACAAAGATGTTGTGTCTGCCGAGAACTAAAATAAATAAATAAATAAATATTTAAAAAAAAAAAAAAAGAACAAACAAGATGCAGGCTGGAGGCATAGCTTGGTGTTAGGTTCAATTTTTTTTTTAAACATGCAAAATGTATTAACACAGACATACACATTCTGCCTCTTAATTTTATGTCAGCATAACTATAAATCTGATTTTGAATGTGTTTGCAAAAGCCATATTGCCATTTCTGCATAAATATTGACCTAGATATGCAAAATAATAATAATAATACAGAGCTTTGTGATTAATCTCTAGATGCCTTTCATTTTGTTTAGAAAATAAGATATAATGGCATGGCATGATAATTAATATAAAGCAATCAATGTTGAGTGGAGTCTAACACATTTTTGTTGTAGAGGGTTCAATACAGTGTCTAGAACCCACTAAGTGAGCAATAAATGTTAGTTGTAGTGACTGTTACCACCTTTGCTTGGGCTCATAAAGGAAGAGTCATTTCAAGTGACCATTGAAAGATGGGTTTCTGATAGAAGGAGGACAGGGAAGGACAGCTCAGCAGAGCTCTAAACCCTTCTAGAAAGATCCTTCTGGTTGGGGCTGGGATTGTGGCTCAAGGGGTAGAGCGCTTGCCTAGCATGCGTGAGGCACTGGGTTCGACCCTCAGCACCACATAAAAATAAAATAAAGGTATTGTGTCCATCTACAACAAAAAATAAATATTTAGGAAAAAATGACTGACCACAAGTTTATCTCTAATTCACACATTGATTTAAAAAAAAAAAGGATCCTTCTGGTGCTTCCTCCTTTTTCTTCCATCTTTCTACTTTCTATCTACCAGGATTGTTTCTAGCTGTCATGTTTCCTTGGTTTGAAGGATTTAATGCTCAAAGTTTTTTCATTCCCTTTTCTATGAAGTTATCAGATTCATAACCCTCTTTCTCCCAAGGTGGCTTTTAGATGTTTCAAATATATAGACCACTTTGGTGGGCAAAAGCGCCTTTTGTTTGTCCCTAGAGTGAGTTGGGAAAGGGATAAAACTCCTTGGACTGAATAGCTTGTTTTTATGAAACATCATTGAAGAAGATGTCTGTTATTTTCAGTGAACAGTAGGCCCTTTATTTATATGTGGTGCTGAGAATCGAACCCAGTGTCTCACACAAGCCAGGCAAGTGCGCTACCGCTGAGCTACAGCCCCAGCCCTGGATATTGTCATTTTTATGAAACATCATCATTATAAGACACCAACCTTGAACCATCAGTTATAACAAATGATTTCTGGGCTGCTTTGAAATCCCCCTTGTAAACTCAAACTCTCTAGCCTTGATTTTTGTGTGCCCTGATGTCTTAAACCATTTGAAAGGGAAAAGCTGATTTTTGATTTTTTTTTTTTTTTAAAGAGAAATCAGTTGTTTTCCTAGACAAAAACAAAGCAGTTCATTTTAGAAAGTTTTAAAGTATTTAGAGAAGCAAAGAAAGGAAAATCATTTATAATTTCACCACCATCCAGAGTTAATTATTTTGAACTTCAAGGTCTATTTTTTTTTTTTAAGGAACACAGAATTTACCTCTTTTAGAACCTTCACTTAATAGGAAGGTTAAATATCTTTTCATATCATTACAGATTCTTTTGTATCATATTGAATGATTTCATAGCAGTATATTTTATGTAGGAAATGGGGACATTATTAGTAAAATTTATTATATTTTAATTTAGAAAAAAGAAACTCATGATCTGAAGATAGTACATAAAGAAGGAGTGTTGTAAAGAGTGATGGGATGTTGTGAAATCTAAAGGGATAGTTTCACAGTCTGAATACCATAAGCAATCATTGCAGGCTTAATAAATTGGTACATTAAGTAGGATGTTAATAGACTCAATCTCTTTATACATCTTTGGGCTAAAGTTTTGTAGAATCATTTTGGGTCTGAAAATTTCACAAGAAATATGCTTGTGGTATCCCAGGTTGCTAAAGGTAGATGGTTTTGACTTCCTTGGTTTCCTTTTATGGGAAATCAAGCCACGAAGCTCTCACTCTGTGTGAGTTTCAAGAGCACCTTGTGCACCAGGAAGCGTGTCAGGTGATTATTTGAACAGTTATGAAAGTTTCATGTTGATAAAGACTTGCTGAGTCTAATCTTGATTGATGAAGCTGGATTATTCCATACGCTTATTTCTTTTTACAGGCAGTGCTTTCCTCAGTGCTATTTTTCTTGCCTTAGCAACATACCAGTCTCTGTATCCAATCACCTTGTTTGTCCCAGGACTCCTCTATCTCCTCCAGGTAAGCACTTGCTGGTTAGAAACCAGTGCTCAAGTGATGTTTAATACATAGCCTGGTCCCTGCTGGGAGGAAGGAAGGGAATGGATTAATAAAGGCAATGGGACTGGGGCCCCCAACTAATATCTGCTTGCTTCTACTTGAAAAGACAAAGAAACTTGACTAACTTTAAAGAAAGTAGACTAAGTGATCTTTAGTTCTGTGTTTTGTCTTTGCAAATGTGAAACTGCTTTTCATTTTACATAATTGTATTTGGGATCTATCAACCATCTTGTATTCTTCTCTCACCTAATGTACATAGATTCCTCTGAGCTCATTTCTTTTTAAGTTTTTTTCTTTCTTTCTTCTTCTTTTTTTTTTTTTTTTAATAATAGCACTCACCAGTTGTAGCTCAGTGGTAGAGCACTTGCCTAGCATGTGTGAGGCACTGGGTTCAATTCTCAGCACTGATATAAATAAATAAAATACAGGCCCATCAACAACTAAAAAAATATATATTAAAAATAGCACTTATTTTCTAAAGTTCTTTAAAAAAATTAAATGTAATGGGTACACTTGTTGCAATGACAGGAACATCCTAGGTGATCAATAAATATGATAGTAATTCAGGCACTATACTAAGCACTGCAGGCATCATCTCACTTCAGCCCCATATGGATTTTGTGGGACAGGTCATATTATTTGCAATAGGTTTGTTTGGTATTATACATATTAGGCACATGAATTAAAACAGAATGTTGGGAGGTTAAATCATTTACCTAAGGTCACATGGCTGGCAAGAAGCATGCAGGAGGTAACACCAAGATTCAAAAATCCAGAAGTGTCTTGATTTCAGAGTCTTCATTCTTAACACTCTTACTAAAGCTAATAATATGCATCCTCTTGTGCAAAAAGAACAATTGCTTGTCAGTATAGGTGACTTTGTAATATATCTTTTGGTGTATATAGTGATACATGATTAGGTTGGTCTTTCTTTTATTTGGGGGAATTTGAGATATGGTCTTCAGTAAATAGCACTGGATATTTGGGCAGGGTATAGTATAGAAATTTGGTTTTCTCTAAGTAATTTTCTTAAGTTATATTTCTCCAGATGATTCACTGGATCTAAGACTAAAAAGTTATATATTCTTATTATGCAAGATCAAATTGTTCTCCACAGAAAAAGCCAGTTGTAGTGCCACCATCAGTATCTACAAAGAAGTGAACCAGCTACCTCCCAGTCTGCCAGCACTGGCTTTTCAAGTTGGATTTATAATCGCTAGTTCAATTAGATGTGTCACCATGCAATGAATTATTTTGTTTTGATTTTCTTTCTATATTCATGTTGATCCAATCATTTTCCATATAATAATATACTATGTATATTTTCTTTATATATATATAAATATTTAGTTGTTGATGGACCTTTATTTTATTCATTTATTTATATGTGGTACTGAGAATCAAACCCAGTGCCTCACACATGCTAGGCGAGTGCTCTACCATTGAGCCACAACCCCAGTCCTTATATTTTCTTAATACTGTGCAGTTTATTCTTTAGAAAGTCTGAGCCTTAAAGAGAATGCATGCAATCAGAACTTTTATGCAACTAGATATAAAATAAATAATATAGAAAAAAGGACTAGGGGTATAGCTAAGTGGTAGAGTACTTCCCTAGCATGCATGAGGCCCTAGGTAGTATTACCAATAAACAGACCAACAAAAACACTTGGGCTGACCTAAACTTTCCAAATAATTTGTTAGTCCATTTCTAAATACTGCTTTATATAAAATGACTTTTGTTTAAAACTCAAGGAAATTTCCTCCTGAGAACAGTGGACAATAAAACTGTGTCATGAGGTTAGGCAACTCAGCTAGTCAATTTATTTAGTCTCCCTGCCCGAATATCCAGTGCTATTTATTAAGCACTCAATATCTCTGAGTCTGCAGAGATAAAGCAGGTACAGTTGCCAAGCAAGGAGTATTCCAGGAAGACTGCTGTGCTAGTAACCTATGGGGTGGTTGAGCATAGAAGACACTGAAATTGGGAAGGTTAGACCATTGTCAGAGGAAATTGAGAGGTGAGGGTCTGGATGCAGGGGATTTTTAGGTGGTGGAATCAGCTGGCAGCAGTCTGTATCTGGGAAACAGGAATAGGAAGAGTTTTGAGATGAATTTCAGGACCGCATTTGTGTAGAAATTAAAATTCCACCTCTAACTATTTTTTTATTTAAGAATGTAAAGTGGCTTGTAGGTCAGTAGGGCCTTCTGAGTCATGATAGAGTATTTGGAAAATTAATTCAGTCACTTCCAGGAAACAAACACACCTGTTTAAATATGAGAGCGAGAACAGAAGAGGAAATTATCTTTTAGAACTGAGTTCCTCCTAAACCATTAAGTGGACCCATTAGGCCTGAGTTCACAGAAATCCAAAGGCTCGAAAGAGAGAAATTAGAACTAATGAGCTCAGTGAAAGGCAGCCCTGTGACAGAATGGGATGTTCCAAGTGAGGTAAGCTCCCTGTGAATCAGTTTTTAGGCCAGTGGAAAATGGCACTTATTAGGGAGTCCTAGCAATGTTGTAAGTATCATCACAGGTGGTTGGATGATCCCAAATGTTCTTCCAACTTCCAACTTAGAATGGTTTAAATAACCACAAACCCACGATGGATCTGCTCTTGACATTCTGGTTTTCTCAGTTTCTAGAAGCCCTCTGCGGGCACACATTTCTTCCTGGAATGATTGTATAAGATACTATAGAAAAGCACAAGCTTGATGGGGATGTCTTGTTAAGATGGAAAGCAGAGTAGTCTCATACGTTAACAGGGTGATGTCAGAACTCTGAAACCAACTCAAAGAACCCTTACTGGCCAAATTTGGGATATTTTGAGCACCAAAAGAATAAAGATTATAAGGGATTATAGAACGTTGAATAAATTAAAATCCATGTGTTCATAATGAAGTTCAGAAGAGAGTTGATTAGAGAAAAAAATTGGATATACCATCATTGTTCCCAATTTCTTTTCTTTTTTTTTTTTTAAAAAAGAGAGAGAGAGAGAGAGAATTTTTTAATATTTATTTTTTAGTTTTCGGCGGACACAACATCTTTGTTTGTATGTGGTGCTGAGGATCAAACCTGGGCCGCACGCATGCCAGGCGAGCGCGCTACCGCTTGAGCCACATCCACAGCCCCCAGTTTCTTACATTGAAAATAACTGAAAGGAAAGAACTACCCAGGTACAATAGCTTATACCTATAATCCCAGCTACTCAATAAGCTGAGGCAGGAGGATTGCAAGTTCAAAGCCTGGACAACTTAGTGAGACCCACCCTCAAACTAAAATAAAAAGTGCTAGTACTGTAGCCCAGTGGTAGAGTTCTTGCCTAACATGCATGAGACCATTGGGTGGGTGGGTGGGGCTGCTGCCTTATACTGAGCTTATTAGTTTTAGCTTCCCCAGTTGAATAAAGAGACTGCTTCTAAATAGATGAAAGCCAATTTATAAATGTAGAAATGATAGAATAGCAAATCGCCAATGAAATTATTGAACCTAGCAAAGATCATCAATGGATGCTAAAATCAAGTGAATAGTTTTTAGAGAATGTATATAATTTTGAATGGTGCCAAAATTTTATCACCCCCACTTTCCACCCTCTAAATTATTTATTAATAACAAAGGAGCCGGTGTGGTTGCAATCCCAGTGGCCTGGGAGGCTGAGAGATGAGGATCACAAGTTCAAAGCCAGCTTCAGCAATTTAGCAAGGCCTTAGGCAACTTGGCAAGACCCGTCTCTAAATAAAATATTTTAAAAAGGGTCAAAGATGTTGCTCAGTGGTTAAGGCCCCTGGTTCAATCCCTGGTACCCAAAAAAAAAAAAAAAAAGGAAATCACATCTGTACAAAGGAGTGTTCTGGAAGTCTCAGGTCAAACACATGATCCTACTCAAATTGTTTACAGTGGAACAATTGAAAAAATGCATTTCTTTTTTTGTTTTGTGTTGTCTTTTGGTACTGGGGATTTAACACAGGGGTGCTTAACCACAGAGCCATGTCCTCAACCTCTATTTATTTTTTTTTTGAGACCTGTCTCACTAAGTTGCTGAGGCTGCCTTTGAACTTGCAGTCTTCCTGCCTCAGCCTCCCAAACTGCTGAGATTACAGGCATGTGCCCATGTACCTTGCTAAGATGTGCTTCTTGGTGTGATGCAATCTGTGTACATAGCATTAACTTTCAAATATTCTTACCTAAGAAGTTGACTTTAATTAAGCCTTTAGATCTGTTTACTAGTTTTTAGAAAATGAAAGAACAGAGGAATAATTTAAATGATACTATAGGGAGTAATAGAACACACCAAAATGGTCTGTAAGACAGTTGATCTGGTTCTCTTCAAATTGTCAAGGTCATGCTGGGCTTAGTGCCATAGCCCCTAATCTCAGCAACTCAGGACGCTGAGGCAGGAGGATCACAAGTTTGAGGCCGGTCTTGGCAATTTAGCAGAATCCTGTCTCAAGATAAAAATAAAAAAGAGTGGGGATGTACCTTAGTAGTAGAGCACCAGTGGGTTCTATCCCAGTGCCATTAAAAAAGAAAAGAAAACAAAAAAAAAGAAAGACAAAGTCAATGTCATGTTTCAAGTTTCAAGACTAGAGAGACACAAAAACCAAATGGAGGACTGGGGGCTGTGGCTCAGTGGTAGAATGCTCGCCTAGCATGCATGAGGCACTGGGCTTGATCTTCAGCACCACATAAAAATAAAATAATAAAATAAAGATATTGTGCCCACCTATAACTAAAAAATAAATATTAAAAAAAAAGCCAAATGGAATGAGAGGTTCTTGATTGAATTCTGGTGTGGAAAAAAGATATAGAGTTGTTTTAGGGGTTGTTAGAAAAATTTGAAGATAAATAAAAATATTAGGTGCTTTTAGAGAACTATTATTAACTTCTTGTGCTATGAAGGAGAATATCCTTATTTTTATGAGCTGCATGCACAAGTGTTTTGGGGAGAAGTATCATGATATGTA